TTAGGGTTTAGGGCCTAGGTTTATGGTTTCGGGAAATTTAGGGTTTAGGGTTTAGGGCCTAGGTTTATGGTTTCGGGAAGTTTAGGGTTTAGTGTTTAGGGCCTAGGTTTATGATTTCGGGAAATTTGGTGTTTAGGGCTGAGAGGTTGCTATACAGGAATCGGAACGAACTCCTAAAATGCTGTACAACCATCTCATGACGAACATACTCCGCTTGTACTGAACGGTTTTTGTTGGCTGTCAGTAACCTCAGCGGGCAGAGATCGCTTCTGGCGGCGGGTTGGCCATGTGAGTTTCAACAAGGTAGGCCTGCAACAAATGTGATGAAGCTGTTCAAGGACAATTCAAAAAAAGAAACCTTAAACCTTGTGTAGGATAAGCTTTACGATACCTTCGTCTGACCCAACCGCCAGGAATTCAGCGCCCAAACAATTAAGACATGCAATGCAAGCTTGAACACCACAACCACATATTCTCATAACACCACACGAAGACATAGCGAAATCCACTTGTAGCAACACACGGCCCTAAACCCTAAACCCTAAAAACCCTAAAAACCCTAAAAACCCTAAACCCTAAGCCCTAACCCTAAATACTAAACTTAGCGAAATCCACTTGTAGCAGCACACGGCTGAAACTCCCGGCCAGAGGACCAAAGTCTTCTGCAGCGGCGAGGAGCTCGAGAAGGATGGTGCCGTTCGTCTCCTCCAAGAGAGGCTCCAAAACCCCTTACATATGTGTGCTTAGGCATTAGTGATGTATACTGCAGCATGTCAAAAATGGCTCTACTATTCCTGAGTTCTTTGAAAGCCTCTTCTGATGGTTTAAGGCATAGGGTGCGGCTGCAGGCCTGTTGATCTCCGCTTAGGCTCCTGGGGCTCTGCGTCTCTAAGCTTATAGTAGCTTAGTACTGAAGGACCGACCTCATTATCGCCGTCTTCTTCGTGAAGACCAGCAAGAGCAAGAGCAGCAACAATAACGGCAGCAGCAACTACAAAATGCTAGTCTCATTGTTGCTACGATCACCAACATCGTCATTTCGATCCTGACCTCCTCACCTTGCCTACGTCTTGCCAGCGTGATCACCGAACACAACAGCAGTGGAAGCAAAACGATGATGGTGATGCTGGCAGTCAAAATGCATGTGCTGATCGGTCTCCTTCCCCTCTTGCGCAGTGGCCGCAGCCTTGGACAGAGCCTGATGACGGGCGAGATATCATGGCAGACAAACATTGGGATGTCGTGGCACAGAATACTTCTAGCAGTCAAAATCCGAACCCACAGAGCCTTCCCTACTACTGGATTGTTTTCGAGAATACTAGAATATACTATGCTGCGCTATAATACAGACCATACTATAGTATGGTCTGTATTATAGCGCAGCATAGTATATTCTAGTATTCTCGAAAACAATCCAGTAGTAGGGAAGGCTCTGCGGGTTCGGATTTTAACGAGGCCTCGGTTTCTGTTCTTTGGCGCTTCGCTCCTGCAAAAGGGTGGTTGTCCAAATGAGGGTCTCTTTTAGCGTGTGGCTCGCAGCAGCG